AACTTCATGTGATTTAACGCTGATGGAAAACAAATCACATGCTTACTGAGATCATATCAGCGTAGATCAGCCGTCCTAAGGGAGGATTTTTGATATTTTTATGCGATTATGATGCTTATTGTGATTGCTTATTAGAGTCTGCCACTTTATCTGTGAATCTGTAGATGTGCCCACTCATCCTGAAATAAATAGGACAGCGTGATATATCACACTCACTTATGTTATTACAATCATGTAGATAACGAGGCTGTGTGTTTGCATGTTTGAGTCTGTCGAATTGCTTCAGAAAGCTGCTGATTGTGTTGTTTGCTCACAGCGGGCCGTCTGATAAAGCAGGCGGTCTGCAGGGAAAACAACCAAACTAAACTCCAGACGGGTGAAGGTTTTCAGGAACGTTATATAATCAGGCTTAAGGTCTGGCTCTTAAAGGGAACCAACTCTTATAAGACCATGCATCAGAACCGACTTCAGATAATCAGGCGACTTGAGGTGATCGAGATCTTTTGCTGTGGGCTTTGCCACTAATTCAGTTGCGAACGGTCACTCCATTGGGAAACCACACAGTACTGATCATTGAGTCTTGACTGCGCTGCTGCCTAAAGGTTTGAGAAAGATTTCTGAGTGTGTCTTCTGCCCTGTGGAGGAGAGACGTTATTTTGTGCTGTAAAACATAAGAGAGTATTGGTTTGCGTCTCATCTCAATGACTGGAGTTGCCAGACAAACCAAAGATAGAGTCAAGATTCATGCCTGCCTCTAGCTGCACGTACGTAGCTTGTACAGTTTCATAACAGTAAACTGTAGTGGTTACAGTTTAATCAGCGCGCAGAAAGCTTGAAAAATGCAGACATGCCCACACTAAAACATAGAAGAAAACAGTATTATTTTGGTGCGTGTACTGGAAGTCATTCTGTCACACCTGCTGATGTAGAAACCAAAAATTAGAGTAGGGATATGCCGGTATCAAATTTTCATGCTGCGATTAATTGCTAATGCTTTTATCACGGTGTACGGTATTATCACGATATTGAAATTTAGTTTAAAAAAAAGTGCTTTCATAATACAGTATAACAGGTTTAATAACTTTTTTCTTATAACAAAAATAACAACATTTAAATGCAATAAAGCAATACAGGAAAATGTATAAAGTTAAAAGTTTTACACAGATTAAAGTGCAAAAGAACTATAAAGACCAATATGTATCACTTTACAATAAGACCTCATTAGTTAACCTTAGTTAATGCATTAACATTCACAATGAGCAATAGCTACATTTGCTACAGAAGTTATTAATCTTTGTTTAAAAAATACAAGTCTTAGTTCATGTTAGCTCATTAAATAACACATCTGCAACTTTAGATTTTAACAACGTGTTATTAAATATTGGAATACCTAAGATTAATGAATGTTCAGAAGAATTTTTCATTGGCAGTTTGTTAACTAATGAAGCCCTAATGTAAAGTGTGACCGAACAATAAAGAATCAAAACACTTTCAAACAATATCTAGGGCATGTTGTAGTCCAGATTAAAATGTTAAAAAAAGTTTGAGAATAAATAACCTATTAAGTCTAAATATTTAAGTATTTGGCACTGTGATGACCATCATAACAAATACACAAATCTGAACGGCTGTTTAAATCATTTAAACATGATTCAGAAACAGAAAGTAGTGCAGCTGCTTGGTTTACAGGGTTTCCGGGGTAACGGCTGCATTTAAATGAATTATTATTATTATTATTATTTCTGCAGTTTATCCCATCTTCTGCTGTCAGAGAGTGAAAGTGCTGCTTTCATCCAGAGCGTCTCTCACGTGTTCCGTCATGTGCTTCTCGTCCGCGCTTGTTTACATCAGAGTGCGCAGGCTTCTCTCACGCAGCATACAGCGGTGTTGTGCATTTTGACCAGTTTATGGGAAAAGTATTCTTAAAATGCATTCAAAATTCTGAATAATTTGTTATATATATAATTATTCACGGTATTTAGAAGTGCCCACGATAACAATATCGTGCATATTCATTACCGTGATATATCGCATTACTGAATACCGGCACAAGTCTAAATTAGAGTGATTTTAGCGTTAAGAAATGGCCAGCGCACTCTTAAGCAGATATGAGCAGCAGGCAGTGCAGTATGTGTGAACTCTTTTATTTTTGTTATCACTATGGTCATTTGACTTATAGCAGTGTCCAGTGTTTCCTATACATTGAGTTATTTGTGGCGGCTCATCACAATAGCAAAACTGACCGCCACAAATAGATTTTCCAATCTGAATAAAAAAAACGTTGAATAAAATGAGTGCTTCACGTTTCAAAATTAAAATGCAGCGCGGGTGTTTTTATATGAATGCATCTTTGAAAAGAACTGACTGTCTTCAGAAAAGCTTCGATGTCATTTTCATTTCGTCTTTCCTGTAATGCCTGATAATAGCGTTTGTGAGCAGCGCTTATTTGATTACAGCCTTTACCGGGGAAACCGCTATATCTCCAGCTCCCGAAGCGCCTCCTGCTGGCAGAGAATTAATGTGCAATCTGTGGGAAACACTGGTGTCTGTCAGCAAACATAACCAAAAAGCATCCTTCAGAACTGTTTTGAGAAGGTGCTTAAGTTTTGAACCATGTATTATTACTCTAAATTGGGCTACTACTACCATTACTATCTTGTACCCTGCATAGGGGTGTGCGATATTGACAAAAATAATATCTCAATATGTTTTGGGATTTTTCCGATAACGATAATCTGACGATATTTTGCGTAGTTAAAAAATGTGTTGTAAATGTCTTTGCTCCCTTTTACAAAGTCAATAGTATATTGAGTGATATTATTAATTGAAAAAATATATTGAAGGAAAGGGTATTTATTTATTATTTAAAACTGAAGCATTCAAGTAAGAACAACACACACCTCTGCTCTGCTGTAAGGTGAACTGTGCAGTACAAGCAAGAAGCAAAAATATAACATTGTAATAAATGTATCTAAATAAATGTATCTTCTGTCAAAAACATCACAAGAAAAACTTTGTAAACAAATTACTCCCTTCAAGTACAGTAACATTTTCCATAGTCAAAGATACAAAAAATAGCCTATAGTGTTTTTTATTAAATGCCTAACTTCAAATTCTGTCCAATATTGCACAAAAATTAAACGGGGTTGAAACACTTCAAAAATATTGCACTCAGGAAAAAAATAGCATATGTAAACAAATGTTATTACTGTAAAAAAAAAAAGTCTACAATTTAAAGACAACAGGTAAAATAACCTTTATAATTGTTTTTTTGCTATAAACTGGGTTTCTTTGGAATTACATGCGTTTCAAGCTGCACAACAAAATATTGCACTTAAAATAATGTAAACAAATAACACTACTGTAAAGAAAGTCTACATTTCAAAGACTATAAGGTAAAATAGCCTTTATAATTTAAAGTAGCCTTTGCAATATAAAAGTGACAGAGGAAACAGGCTTTCAGCAGATTTCTTTTTTCCCTTTCTGGGTTTCTTTGAATTCACATGCGTTTCAAGTTGTGCGATAAAAACACCAGCCTGTCCACAGCATCTGGCTTGAGAGCAGCACAGTGACCTGTAACAATATTTCCTCCTGTGCTGAAAGCCCTCTCAGAAGGGCTGCTTGAGGCAGGGATGCACAGGTACTTTTTTGCTAGTTTCCCAAGTCTGGGGAAATGTATTTCTTGCATTTTCCACCAGTCAAGTGGATTTACGTCACTGTCCACCTCAGGTATCATTAAGTAGCTCTGGATCTCCTTTTCAATAGCACTGCGCAGAGACTCACCTCTGAATTCCTGTGGTTTCTTGAAATAACTACCAAAAGACTTTTTTCTCTTTTTTGCTGGTTCACTGGTGTCGTCACCTGCAACAGGTTCTGCTGTCATAACATGAGCAGAAGCAGTTGAGGGGCCTGGGGTAGGGCTGTCTTCCTCTGTCAACATAGCCATGAGTTCTTCTGTCACTGCTGTCCCAATGGCTTTGATTCTGTCATTGTTATTGGAGCGGTTTTTGAACCGGGGATCAAGTGTGGATGCCAAACTCAACAGCTCATCCACACAGTCTTCTGCATACTTGGAGTTCAGGTAGATTTTTTTGGTTAGGTATGTGTCATCAGACTTCACTGCCAGGACTTCAGTGTTGAACAAGGCAACACAGGTTTTAAGTTAGAAACTGTTACGAGTTGCTCACCTGACAGAGCGTCTGAAAATTCTAGCAGAGGACCAAGTGCTTTGCTGACCGCCTCCAGCACCTCAACATCTTGCCATGTTGGCACAAGGTGCCTGTGCTTTTTGTCTGCAGTTAAAACATGACAAATGGCCTTTTCTTGCTCAAGAAACCTCTCAATCATGCGCTGTCTTGAGCCCCATCTTGTTGGTGACTCTGTGATCAGTTTGTGTTGAGGAAGCTTCAACTGCTCTTGTGCATTAGCAAGTGCTTTTTTCTTTTTCCAGCTGCTGGAAAAAGCAGCAACCACTTTCTTGCCAAACTCCAATGGCTCTGTCTATTCTAGGATCCCTCATGCTCCTCTCTGGAAAACATTTAAAATAGACAAACATAAGATAGACATAATAACATTTTGAGTCCATTGAACATTCAATGTGTGAAATTATGGCATTTTATATTATTTATATTACTATTTTATATTATAATTATTATATTTTACTTTAATTCATCTTATTTATTATATATAAAGCATCTGCTAAATTAAATTAATCTCTCATTTTTATTATATTACTGTTCTATAAAAGCTTTGCTTATGTTATTTTTTTGTATTGATAAACATCCTAACAAGATATATTTTACTTGAATATGTTTTCACAGAAGCACCAAAATTGCTTACCAATGGCAATATGAAGTCTGTGGCCAAAACAAGGAAGCCGCTGCCAGATGTTAATCCGTAGTGCACTGACAACGTTAGCTCCGCTGTCTGTTCTCATGCAAACCATGCGGTCTTCGGGCAACGACCATGATGCCAGCGCATCTTTTAGGCCTTGAGCAATTATGTCACCTGTGTGGTCATCTGGAAAGTAAGATGTCTGCTGACAGTAGCTTTGGAGTTGCCAGGTTTCATCAATGAAATGTGCTGTCAGGGAGAGGTATGGCTCTGACGTTCTGCTTGACCACAGATCGGTTGTTGTAGCAAAATGTAAAACCTTCTGCACGTCATGCGCAAGAGTTTGGCGACATGACTCGTACAATTTAGTCAGCGCTGTTTCACTGAAGTATTTTCGCCCAGGTAGTGTGTATCTTGGGTCTAACATCTTTAAAAGCTGTTTAAAACCATCTTTCTCAACCGCTTGAACTGGCACCATGTCTCTGGCAATGTAATTGGTGACAGCGTTTGTTATATCTTGCCATCTTTCGCTTTTTCTGTCGTAAGGTACTTTCTTGCTAAATGATTCGGCGAAAGTTTGTTGCGTGTGTTTTTTTTACCCTGTCTGCTGCAGGCGCATCGTGTTCAGCTGACTCCGTCTCCCGAAGCTTGTCATAATTCTCGTATTCACTATGGTGGGTAGTTCGAAGAAGGTGAAAGAGATTGGTCATCGCACCAGATTTTCGGCACAGTTTGCAGATCGGCGTCTTTTGACTAACATCCAACCTTTCAAAACCAAACCACCTCCATGCTAGTGATGACGACCCACGTCTAGGAATTAAATCTAGCGTGGATTGTGAGGATGCTGGTGTTTGAATGTCTTCTCTCACAGTTCATTTTAACTTCTGTCGAACACTGCAATCTGTCCCGCTATCCCATGCGCTGAATGCGCGTGCATGCGTGCAGTAATTTACTACAGCACGCAGTGAATTCGTGATCACTTAATGCAGCGTTTTAATTGGCTTCTGAAAATGAGTGACATACTCGATATTTTGATTTTGCATATCGTTAAACCAGCAATTACGATATTATCGCACACGATATATATCGCACACCCCTAACCCTGCAATAATCATTTGCTCAAACTCACTTTTATGAGATGAATGGGGAAAAAAAAGAAAATCGACGAAACATATCAAGCAAAAAAATCGGCATCATATATCAGCCATCGGTCAACCTCTACTGTTGTTTATTGTTTCACACATCGATAGTTTTATATTGTACAGTTGTTCAATGTGTGGTTTAATTACACATTCGTTAACCTTTTCAATCTAATTTAGTGCTGGGCGGTTTACCGGTTCATACCGAATACCAGTGTTTATTTTTATGATGTGAATTTTTAAAATACCGCAATACCGGTGTATGTTGCTTAAACAACGTTGGGAACGCGACACTGTTTGAGAGGGGTCTCTTTTCACTGTTGCACTGTGGTGAGGGAACAGCTGTATGTGTTACTAAGCGTGAAAGTTCAGAAACTGAAGCTGTAGAACTAATAGAACGTGATGACACAGAAGAACTCATCCACAATATCCACACTGACCGCCACAAATATCCAGCGCCCCTGCCATCAGCTCCCGAGTCTCACACACACCAGCGCCACTTCAGCACTAGATTTAGCAACTTTCAGACCCTTTTAGCGGCTTTTGTTCCAGAGAATATTCATACTGACAAACCTAGCGATTTTTTTGGATAAAACCTTAGCTATGGTTCAGTTGGAAGATTTCACCAGTGCTGTCCCGTGAACGCGAGGTTTGGCTTTCCCGGAGAAGTGTCGCCTCTCTCGGCGTCTGTTCTGTGCAGCGAGCGGCAGTTTTGTTGTCTGGTATGCAGATTTACTTGCTCTAGTAATCGTGAGTCCTCGTGTTTTTGTTGTCTGGTATGCAGATTTACTTGCTCTAGTAATCGTGAGTCCTCGTGTTTTTGTTGTCTGGTATGCAGATTTACTTGCTCTAGTAATCGTGAGTCCTCGTGTTTTCTGGTATGCAGACTTTACTTGCTCTAGTAATCGTGAGTCCTCGTGTTTTTGTTGTGTTGGGAAACTCTAAAAAAAAAAAAAAAAAAAAAAGGCTTCGAAAGGAGTTTTTCACAGCAACATCATAGGAGAACCATTTTTGGGTTCCCTAAATAACATTTTAACCATTTTTTCTTTGTGTAAAGAACATTTTAATAACCTAAAGAACCTTTTCCCACTATAAAGAACCTTTTGTGCAGTGGAAAGTTTCCACTAGGGGTGGGCGCTACACCGGTATGAAAGTGACTTTATGGAAGTGACATAATACCAGTGCATTATGTTGTTCCGCGGAGCTATCAAAATAGGGGCCGAGACCCTTTTGGGGTAGGCGCGTGTTTGTTTTGGTGATTTCAAATGTCAACATTGGCTACCAGAAATCGCTTACCCCACCTTTAAGTGATTAGCAAATGATCAACATTGTCCATTTTACTGCTTAATGCTAAAATCAGTTGTTTGGTGATTGTCAGCCAAAACAAAGGCCCCCCCAAAATGCAATATGATTTTCCTGCCTTTTAAGATACTTTGTTTTGGAAAATGCATTGTGAGCTCAGCCAGTGGGGGGAAAAAATCAGAAATGATGGACAAGAGAAATGTTAGTTATATTATCTTAATGTTAAAAAATACCAAATGTTAATGTAATTAACATGCACTACTTTATCTAATTGGC